GGAGTTCTCAAAAGAGATTTCAAGTTTAGAGTAACTCAGAGAGGCAGGCAGGGAACAGTCAGTATTGTCATTTTATTTTAGTCTTTTACAAATTGAGCTGGTTTGGGTTTATAACACTGTATGTGATTTAGACATGTAGGATGGCACCTCCTCACATCCATGTCTCCACACTAACACCTACCACCATGACACTACAGTCTCCCACCATAATCCACTGCACCCCTAACCACATTATTTTCTCTCCTCCTCCTCTCCTCCCTGTGGTATTAATTCCACAGTCAGATTACTGTGGTTTGATACTGCTTTGATTTTGTCTGACACTCCATTGTTTTCTTATATTCTATATATAAGAGAAGCCACTCAGTTTTTGTCTTTCTCCTTCTCACTTTTTTTGCCTGTTATCCCATGTAAATTCCATTTGCGTTGTTGCAAATGACAGGAGCACAGTTTATTTTTATTTTTTTAATTTTTATTTATTTTTTATAGCGAGCAGGATTCCATTGTGTCTATACTATGTATTTTTTTCTAATCCACTCATCTGTTGTTGGATATTTTTGTTTCCATAACTTGGCTACTGTAAATAGTGCTATTGTGAATACAGGAAAGCATATACCCCTTCAAGTGAGTGTTTTTGCATTCTTCACGTAGATGCTCAGGAGTGAAGTTGTTGGGCTATATAGTAGGCTCATTTTAATATTTTGAGAAACCCCCACACTGTACCGCAGAGGCTGTACCTATCTATCTACATTCCCACCAGCAGTGTAAGAGGCTCCTTTTTCTCCACATCCTCATTAGTACTTGTTGTTTTTTATCTTACTGATGGGGGCCAATTGTGCAGGTGTGAGGTGTTATCTCATTGAGCTTTTGATTTACATTTCCCTGACAGTAAGCAATGATGAGCATTTTTCAATTGCTTGTTGCCATCTGTATGTCTTCCTTGAAGAAGTGCCTGTTGAACTCTTCTGTCCATATTTTGATTGAGTTATTTGTTTCCTTTTTGTTGAGTCCTATGAATTCATTGTAGATATTGGATATTCAGCCCATTGTTAGATCTATGGTGTGCAAATATTTCCACCCATTCTGTAGGATGCAGGAGCTTTTTAGTTTGATGTAATCCCAATTCATTTTATGCTCTTATTTTCCTTATTGTTGAAGATGAAACCATAGAGACATCTCTGAAGCCAAGTTCACCTTCATTTTCTATGTGTTTTATGATTTCAGGTCTTCAATTATTTTATCCATTTTGAGGTTTTTTTTTTTTTGATGCATGGTGTGAGCTAGTGGTCTACTTTCATTCTTCTGCATGTCACTGTCCAGTTTTTCCAACGCCAGTTGTTGAAGAGGCTTTCCTTGCCCACCTGTATTTCGATGCTCTTTGCTTCCTAGCCACATGTATTACTTTATTTGCTCTTTTGTGGTTGGGGAACTACAGGATTAGTTTTTTTTTTTCTCTTCATTTATTCTGGTGTCAGATGGGGACAGGTGGGGATTCTAGGCTTAATTACCTCTACCTCCTCTCCTCTTACTGCACAGCAAGCTCTGTTTGCATCAGTTGTCCCAAACTTCGACCCTGCCTCTGTGATGCTTCTTTCTGCCATGAATCTTTACCGGTGAAGCTTAAGCCCTGGTGAGGGAAATTGGCTCTAGTCCATGTCCATAAAGCTCAAGCTCTAAGACTCAGTTGTGCCTGACAAGCAGTGTGTATGTCTGATTGCCCAGCTATGGCCATAAGCATTGGTCACCACAGCAGCCTCCAAGGGACCTGGGCTGACAGTTCTGCATTACTACTTGATAATTTCCAAGGGAGTGGTGAGTTTTCTAGCACTAGTCCTCTATGCTGTTGGGCCTGAATGGAAACCCAGCTTAACTCTGCCTGGTGAATTCTGATCTCTGACTTATGGGAGGGAGCTGGGGAATGTTTTCTTGCCCTTACTGGTTGCAGAGTTCCCAGTGTCTTAGGTTGGATCCAAGTCTGTGTACATGACTTGTGATGGAAACAAGGCATGGGATACACCATGGAGTGGGGGAGCCAGTAGACTGACAGGTCTCCCAGCCCTTGGCAGGATCTGTAAGCACTCTCTTTGGGATCTCGTTGGTTTCATCTTGTCATTTTTCTCTTGCAGCTATCGCTTGTCCTTTTGTAGCCATTCTCCTCTGCCTTTATAGCCTCAGCTACCAGGCTTAGGGGTGCCCACTTCCACATGCCCACACAGGTGTCCAGTATTGGGCATGCATGCCCTGAGCCCACATCCCAAGTGCCTCCTGCATTATCAAGTCCATGGTTGATAGCCACAGAGGCCAGTGATGTAAAAGCCTGATCAGTCTTCATTTATCCTACATGACTATTCTTCCTTTCTGAAAAATATCTCCAGGGAAATTTACTGTGCCTGGTAGTGCCCCATAGGCCAAGGACAGTGAGTCCCAGCCCACTTTACTGGATGGGTACCTACTTTCCTGGCCACGCTCCACTTTTCCCTCTCTTCCTTCTTCCTTGTAGCAAGGCACCAAATCTTCCTCCATGAAAAGTCCTAAGATTCTGTGAGGGAACTTCCACATTTTCCTTTGTGCAAGTATTAATTTTTTTTATAGTTGTTTTGGGGGCTAAGTCAATCTGGTCTCTCAATTCTGCCATGATGTGTATAGAGTCTATTTTTTTCAACTCAACCTTCCAACATTTGCTTTTTTTTTTTTTTTAAAAGATTTATTTCTTTATGCATACAGAACTGAGGTACAGACCAGAAGTGCAGGGGCAGTGAGAGGATTCACCAGAGACAGAGTGGGGAGCAGAACAGGCCGACTGATGAAGTACACTGCTGAGGGGAGCAGCGGGCGGGTCAGGAGAGGTCTGCCACGTCATGTGGATCACCTGTGGGGTGGGGATCAAATTCATGCTGAAGTGGCTTTAGCTTCTTAGTGCTGTGCTTTAACCTGCTGTGCCACCAGGGAGGGCCCAACACTTGCCTTTTAATTGGTGACTTATATACTTTCATAGTTGATTTTTGAATAATATGGATTTGGACTAAAGGGGTACACTTATCTGTAGATTTTTTTTTAAACATTTTGGAATTTTTTTTGAAACTTGTGACAATTAAAAAGGCTCAAACCACATTGCCTAAATATTGAGAAAATAAGAAAAAGTTAGATATTTATGAATGTCTTATAGAGATACACACACATATATGTAGTAGTCTGTTATCACTTACAACCATAAAATATACAATTTTTTATAGAAATTTAAATTTTACCCAAATGAACACATTATACATGGCATCATTTGCAGCTGAGAGAAATTAAAACAAATGTAAAGATGTAGTATTGTCATAATTGCATAAAATATCTTCAGTGCATACTATACTACTGTGTTACTTTGTAGTGATGTGAGCGTCCACTTAAAATGCCATGTGACTCTAGTCATCTGGGATGAGCAGTTGGGCTCTCAAATAAATTGCTTATTGTAATAGAAAGTGATCTCTCACTGTTATTCCATAGTTTTCATCTTGTTTGGTGCAGTACTGCCAACCTTGAATAACATCCTGGGACCCTTATAAAGTACTACTCATTATGCTGGAAAAGTCCCTAAGAAGCAGAGAAAAATCATGACCTTATATGAAGAAGTTGAGTTGCTTGATCCCATATTGACAATATTGATGTAGGCAATGACAGACAGATGATTCATCTTCTAAACAGTTGATGTAAACTTATGGTAGTGATAAATACAGTGTAGTACTATAAATGTATTTTTACCTGATGATAATTTTCTCAAGCTTCTTTCTTGTATCTTACTTTATGATAAGAATACTTATCATGTATAAGAATACTTATAATGTATATGATACATTATACATTTGTGTGATACATATAAAACCTGTGTCAATTGAGTGTTTATGTTATTGGTAAGAGTTCTAACCAACAGCAGGCTATTAGTAATTAAGTTTTGGGGGAGTCAAAAGTTTTGCATAGATTTTTGATGACATGAAGATTTTGATACCCTTAACTTCTGCATTGCTCAAGGATCAACCATATATGTACTATAATTCTGTCTGCTTCTCTTGGTATACTGGGTGGTCCTTATTCATGTTTTTAATCCATTTTGAAGTCCCTCATAGAAATCAATCATTATCAATTGAACGAATTGTTGAATGACTGTGAATATAAATCAATTCATACCTATTTGTCAAAGTCTAGTCTAGGGCTGGTGCAGTAAGACCTCTCCTGTCTCGCCCGCTGTTCCCCTCAGCAGTGTACTTCATCAATCTGCCTGTTCTGCTTTCTACTCTGTCCCTGTTGAATCCTGTCACCACTCCTGCACCTCTGGCCTGTACTCCAGTTCTGTATTCATAAATAAACACATCTTTAAAAAAATAAAAATAAAAACTAGGAAATGAAAAAATAAACATAAAGTCTAGTCTAGGGCTGATTCTCTTGATTCATCTGGAAAATCCCTTTCCTTTTAAACCACCATAATCCTTTTCATTAGTTACTATTAACTTTGCATCCATTACATTTTTATAAAGCAGTTTGAACTATTGTGACTTATGATAAATATATATTTAGTCTGTATTCCATTTTTTGGTAGAGTCTTAAAACCTTTGGAATTTTCTAAGTGATAAGAGTGATAAAGATGTCTTAATATTTATAAAAATCCTTTTAAATCACAGCTGAGTTTATGTTAATGAGATGATATTTGGAAAACACCTAAGGTTGGGACTGGTTGCTGGGGTAACCAAGCAAGTGACTGAAGCATTGAAACATTCAGTCCTCTCCTTCCCAGCCACTACAAAATTCCAGTGTTTGTGTTAGCGTGACCTTATTTATTACCAAGGTTGGTGAGATCTAGGTGACAGTGGATTACATATACATGTCTTTTTTTATAACAGATATATGAGCTCATTCTGAACTGGACTGTCTTAATTACTTGTGTATTCCTCAGAGGGCAGAGCTTTGCAACACATTGATGGAAATTTTCAGTCTTTACTGTAATGCCCTTTCCAAATTTACCCTCATGTCAACTTCTGGAAGACTTTGCCAAGCAGAAGTCTTCCCAAGGCCCCATGCATGTCCTTGTTCCTCAGACTGTAGATAAAAGGGTTCATCATAGGGGTCACCACAGCATACATCACAATGGCCACTGAGTCCTTCATGGAGTAGGTTTTGAGGGGCTGCAGATAGACCATACAAAGTGTCCCATAGAAGAGGGCGACCACAGCCAAATGGGAGGCACAGGTGGAGAAGGCTTTGTACTTCCCAGTGGCTGAGGGTATGCGGAGGATGGCTCTGACAATCCAGAGATAGGACATGATCATGAACCCTAAGGGGACGAGGAATACAAAGGATCCCGTAGTTATTAGCATTACATGATTCAATTCAGTATTGGAACACGTGAGCCTTAGGAGGGCATACATCTCACAGAAGATGTAACGTATCTTTCGGGATCCACAGAAGTTCACTGTGGTCATAAGGAGGGTGTGGATGAGGCCGTATGTGATAGAGAACACCCAACATAGGATAAGGAATAAAATACATAACCCAGGGCTCATGGCTGTGGTGTAGTGGAGGGGACGGCAGATGGCCACGTAGCGGTCATATGCCATCACAGCCAGGATGAGGTTGTCCAGGGCCACCAAGGAGACCAGGAAGTAGAGCTGTGTCAGGCACTCTGCATAGGAGATTGCTTTGTTCTCAGACTGAAGGTTCACCAGCATCTTGGGGATTGTGTTGGTGACAAAGCAGAGGTCAGTGAAAGAGAGGTTGGCCAGGAAGAAATACATGGGAGTGTGCAGGCGGGGGTCAGAGCTGATGGCCAGGATGATGAGCACATTTCCCACCACTGTGACCACGTACATGACCAGGAACATCCAAAACTGGACACGCTGCTGTTCAAGATTATCAGTGATCCCCAGGAGCAGGAACTCAGAAACGTCACTCTGATTGCCTCTGTCCATTTCCCCAACTTTCTGCAACATCAACACCAGCAAATGCAAAGTGTGTTCAGTTGAATAAGGACACTCAAATAAGTGAAACCAACAAGTTTTTAGTGTTAAAATTATCATAAGTTAAGTTTTATTATCTTTTAAATAAGAAACAATGTAGTAAGAGACACTAAACTAATCCAGAAAAATGTTATGCTACATAGTCATTCCAGCTACATGTAATCTGGCATACTCAATATTATAGAAATAATGAATAACTTAGTTTAATCATCTTGTAAGTCATGCAAGTCTCCTGAAGTGTTTAAAAATTAATATGATACGGCATATTATGATGTTGTGTATATTTAAACAATATTTAAAATAGGTATATGCAGTATAATAAATTTATGTTATACAATGAAGAAAGGAATATTAGAAATATTGAACTGAAAATTGAAAAATTACTATTGCTCTATGATATGATGAGCTCTTTGGGAAACATGAAATAACTAATTGAAATTCCATTACAAATTAAAAGCTATTTCAGAATAACTGAAATCAAGTTTTTGCTCTGACACTTTCTGGCTGTGAAATAACAGTCAAGTTACCTGAGCATTTTAAGAGTTCATTTCTTCATGTGAAAACTGGGTCAGAGTGACAATAAACAATAATGAGATATCATCTCATATCTGTGAAAGTGGCCATGATTAAAAAGAAACAAGTATTTTTGAGGATATGGAGAAAAGGGGACTTCCTCATATATTGTTAAGATTGTAAATTGGTACAGCCATTTTAGAATGGAGATTCATCAAAAACCTAAGACTAGAAGCCCTCCCTGGTGGTGTGTGGGTTAAAGCACAGCAGTAAGAAGCTAAAGCCACTTCCGCATGAGTTCAATCCCCGCCTGCCCCGGAGGTGACCCGCATGGCACAGCAGACCTCTCCTGACCCGCCCGCTGCTCCCCTCAGCAGTGTACTTCATCAGTTGGCCTGTTCTGCTCCCCACTCTGTCTCTGGTGAATCCTCTC